GGGGGGTATTTTTCTAATAAATTTTATTCATACATAAATTGTGCAACAAGTATATTTACCACCTGGAAACAGGAAAATTATTTTTTCAAAGACACCATCTGCATCACCACAGTCTATCACTTTCACTCAGCTGGATTCGGTCTCCAGAGACAGTCCAGCTGCAGCACTTATTCGTGTTTCTTTCTTTATTTTTATTTAATCTTTTTCAGTAGTGCATGTTTGACACATTCAGCCATTTTGGAAACAGAGTCTAAAAAAGCGTCTGGCTGGGGAAATAACCAGAGCACCAAAAACTCTTGTGTTTTAGTCTTAAGGCATGGTAAGTTATAACAGTATCATCAGTATTACTGCCGCTAATATGTTTATGTCAAAGCAAAGTACAAGGATCTATAAACAGGGGGGAAATGACAATCTTCATTTTGCAAATACAATCAAAACTTCCCTTTCAACACAGCATTATCCCACAGAGACAAGCTGTACGTGTGCATCGTAGGTGGAGGAATCTGAAGAACTATGTTGGAATGTATCCTGTTTAAAGTACAGGAGAGTGTTTATGTAGATTTTCTGTTATCTTTTGGGTTACTTTAGTGTTTGGATCTACACATGGAAACATCAAAACAGCTCACATTTACTGTAATTAAGATCAAATTAAGAGATTGTAATTTTAAAGCAGTCTATTGCAGCATGGCAACTCAAGCCAATTTAACTACTAGATTTTAACGTGCATCATGTAAATAACTCACATGTGTAATGTTTCATAAGGACATGTAAAACTATTAAGATGCATGTCAACGGTTAAATTAAGACTTAATATAAGATWATCCTAAAGTCTATGCACAGAGTTGCTTATTTGCTCATGTGCATAACCCATTGAGGGGCTGAACAGGCAGGCACTGATTTTTTTTTTTTCTGTGTGAAAATTTCAACAGCGAGCTAACTAAAGTGTTCAAATCACAGCAGTGGAATGAAAGTTAGATCCTGCTCGCTTTATGATAAGCTTTGGACATGTGCCAGACGAGGGCTGATTGTTCCCAAAGGCTCTGCCAGAAGTTAGCGTAAAGCCTACGAGTGTGCTTTAAACAGGTCCGAATGCAGTAGCTCACGCCAACAAGGACAAGAGAGTGGTCAGTTTTCTTCTATAAGGCTCAGGTCCAGTTCTGTGCAATCTCTTTCGAATATAGTTTTCCCAAAATTYAACACAGTTCGCTTTCTTTCCTCCTCTTCCTCTTCTTCGCTTTCGCTTAGAGGGCCGATGCTGCTTCGCCCCAGGATTTCAGCGGGGGAGAAAGTGAAGCGGTGCTCTGATTGGGAGGATCTTGGAAAAACGCAGTCGCTGGTTCCACACATCAGGCTCTCGAAAGTACCGATCTACACAAGAGACAAACAAAAACATTTATACACACAATACTAAGATTTGATTACTTAAAGGGAAAAGAGAAAACCTTAAGTGAACCAAGACGCTTAAAGAAAGAGCTCTTACRTAAAAATTAGTGGTGTCTGGATATCTAGAGACCAATACCAGCCTTGCCACAAGTACTCCTACAAAATGCCCCRATACYCAAGAGTRATTTTTTTTGCATGGTTCACATTTTAAATGCGACCTCCATCAGACTCCAGTGTAGATGCTTTACGCCGTTGAAGAGGCACGCATGCATAAGAGCGCACTGTTTACATACGTAAGAGGTCCATCTGTGGATGCTACATGTTAGCATATTAACTCTGAGGTTGTTGTGTAATTAGGACAGATTAAATAATTAATTGACATGCTTGTTTAATTCACGGTTTACCCTGCCTATGGTCGGCWGCTYTGGTGCAGCTTSTTTTTGTAGGACGAGAGCAAYGTGCTCAAAGTAAGACAAACATATCGATCTAGTAACTTTAGTATCGACACACACCAACTTTACTATCGGGTTTCTGTGGGTTCTTAGTTATCCAGGACATGGAAAATAAAAAATAAATAAAAAGACAAAGCAACAACACTTCTGCTCYGTAGCTAAAGACATGAAGTTGATTCGAGGTTAGTATCAGTTTTATTACATGAATCTGCTCACCACCTCACTAACATAAAAGTCAAATAAAATGTGACAACCATCAGGCTGCAGTTGCTTTAAAAAACATCAGATATGAATCTGATTTAAAAAAAAATTAAATTCATTCTGTAATGTTTAAATTCTAAGTACTCAGTATTGGCGAGTACCCTAACTGAAGTACTCAGTCTGTGTGACGAAAAACTGATGTTGGAACACTCCTAATAAAAAAATGGTGCAGAGACTAACTAACAAAAAACAAACAAACAAACAAACAAAAAGTCTTTCAAAAGATTTTTCCCAGGTAGTATTTAAAACTTGTCAGTTCAGACTGGAGAATTGGTGTTTCATTATGAACATTCAAAACATCTGGAGCTTAAATTCAATCACTTACTGAAAAACTCGGCTCACCTGTGTCATCTTGCTAAAGTCCAGCCCTGGTCTGGGGCAGGGCAGGACGTCTGGGTCGTGGCGCCTCTTCAAACGTGGCCTCCTCATGTCGCAGGGCTGCGAGTGGCATCGTGGCAGTGYGGGGTGCGGGTCGCGCCGACAGGAGGACGGCGTGCTGCAGGCTGAGGTGGAAGAGGGCGACAAGGCTGGGTGTTCTAAGCCGTATGTGGGAGCCGAAGTAGGCGAGGGCTGGGGGTGCAAAAAGGCCACTGAGGGGTGCTGAACGTGCACGGGAGAAAGGGAGAAGCGACGCTGCAGGACCGAGTGAGAAACCAGKGGGGCTGGTGAAGATGAGCAAGAGGAATGTGTAGCAAACGGGGCAGAACAAGCTCCTTTTAGTGTGTCACACGGGTCCCACGGAAAGCCCCACGATAAAGCGGAGTCAGAGGATAACGCTAAGCTAAAAAAGTTTGGGCTAGAAGATGAGTGTAAAGAGGAGGAAGTGAAGGAAGAACTGGGACCACAAAGTGGCAAAAAACTGGCTCCGGACCCAGAACTAGACGCTCCTCTACTGTGGCAGCCACGTTTGACCGGAACCCAGACTTTGGACGCGCTCGGGTGCCACGTTGAGCGACACTGGGACAGATCCTCGGGAACGGAGAGGGAACGGCAGTGGCGTTTAGGAGGTGGCGGGGGCGAACTTTGGAAAGCTTTGTTGGTGAAGGCCACCGCCAGCCCCTGGACTGGTTCTCCAGCCCACGRGGAGTCAAGCTCACAGGAGTCAGCCGAAGCATGTGCCTTGGATGACAAGTGTGTAGTGGAGCTGGTCTCTGAAAAGGTAAAGACAAAAACATGACATGGATATTCCTACTATTAACCAATGTTCTCAATTCTTCTAACTCGCCTTGTTCGGTTTTACAAGCACTCCACGAAATGGTAGGACTGGAGCCCACTGCAGGTAGTGACTATAAAAAGGGAGAAAAAAAAACTTTAAAAACCTGTAATTGAATTAGTACAAAGTACAATATTTAGATAATTATCCAACTCACCACACTGGCATTGAAAGAGAAAGCTTTGTGATATGGTTCCTCTAAACTCTGCTTGCGGAGCTGCTCTGTGATAAGTGTCACCATGACGTAGGTACGAGGAGACGCATGTGGACACGCCGAGGGTGATGAAGAAAATTTTAGTCGTCAGAATTCTGGCGTGGTATGTGGTGTCCCCGCCACACCTCAACCATCCTGACCGACCACCTCTCTCATTGGACCATCGTCCTCATCTTTGGGCCGCCTAAAAAAAAAACAAACAAAAAAAACAAAAAAACAAAAAATGGCACAGATGTGAACTAAACCGTCAATGATTTAATCTAAACTCTTTACGCAAAATTCAGAAAACATCTGCAGAAATAAAAGCACTTATACAGGTTAGCTAAAGAACTAAACCAGGATATGCGTGCAGTTTTGTGTGAATACATGAAAGTCTTAAAATGGCAAAACAAAGACAAGGAAACCTCGAATAGAGAACCACTTCACATTCAATTACACAAGGAGTGCAAAGGAACTGTAAAAAGTGATAGAACAGACAAAATGTTGAATAGGTACCAGTATGAGCTCGTGGGCCAATATAAGGGCAGTGATGCTGGATCCAATAAACTACGACTTTAAGACTTGTTAGATGTGCAGAGACAGGAAGGGGGAGGGATGAACTCAGAGAGAGAGGTTGGGGGAAGTGTGTGAAAACCGAATGGGACAGGGTTTGAAGCATATCATAAACGGGGAGCAAAAGAAATGGTGAAAATGTCGTGAGGGCGTAATTTTCTCAAATATAAAAAAACTAATGTGATGCAGGCAAYAAAATGTTCTGAAAATAAAAGAAAGAACTTGCTATTATTATGAGTAAATAAAGCTAGATTAACTTGTGCTGCCCCCCCAAAGAAAGTAATCTCTACTAATCTTGAAACATTTACTTCCTAAATGAAATCAACACAATATGTAAACTGCTCTATTAAAAAACACAACATGGCCTTTGCAATGAAGGCCACAAAAGAGCAAAGGCTAAAGTTCATTTAGTGCTTAAATCAATCTCAACAGTTACTTGAACCGTGTCATTTTAAACACACTTTAAGACATCAGGCCTAACTAAAAATGATGGACTGACAGAGATTATTGAGACTTTGATTCTGCTCTGCTGGCATTCAGATGTGTGGCCTCCAGGCTTTTCCTCCTCATGATAAACTCGGTGCTACACTGCTAGCCTAGTTCCCTATGATAAACTACTTCATGGTAAAACTAAACCCCAGTCAGTCAGTGGCAACAGATCTGCCTCTAATTTAATGAGAGCAAGGCAGTTCTGTCAACAAGCACCCAAAATCATTTAAAACTACCCCTCATCGACCAGGCCCACGAATTGAACACAACACTTATATCCTGAAGATAATTACCGAATAACCTGCAAGACCAGTGGTTTATAAAATTGCGCAGTTCCCCTATTTCTAACATGGCACGTGTTTGTGCTCAACCACTAATTTATTACAAACATAAGCTGCAATATAAATGTTAACCAAGATTTTTTGGGGGGTGGCAAAACTTATACCAACATTAGCTAGTGAGCAAACAGGTGAAGCTAACTTCGTAACACGATGCAGCTCGTGAGACATCAGATTAGCCGATTATGTTAGTTAGCTGATAGGATAGCATACATGCCAACTAAAATTACTGTCGATTACCGTCATGTCACTCATTGGTCTACATTTTAGTTGACAAAGAGTCATTTCTTCGCACCATTTGTTGAGACTACGAAAGCATTCGTTACTGAGTTATATAGATGCTAGCTTGCTCGCGCAGTCTCTATGAAAAACTAGCATGCTACAGCTGACCTGATGCATTACCTGCTTTCAGTGGTTCCTTAGCAACCGACACTGCTCGGCGACTGTACCACTGCACGCTAGCGAAGTATTTATAGCGTTTGGACGATACCAATACGGAAGTGTCTTTGGTCTGCCTTTACACGTAAATATCCCGAAATTAAAAAAGAAACACACGCGAAAAATCTATTTTGAAAAGTAAAAGACGTAATATTTTTTTTATTTTCTTTCTAACATCAAATTTTAATTGCACGTTAATACCTTTACGCGTCTCTGACCCCCCCCTTTGCAGCCCAGCAGTTGGACCGACCCGTGAAGCTGCAACCTCATTTTAAACCGGTTTTCAAGTATTAATTGTTGCATCTTTTCCTATAATGTTTGTTAAAAATGAGATTGTGAATTTAGTTCACAAGTATGCGCGATGGCGGACGAAAATAAATAAATAGAAGAAATCGCTAACCGGAGGGATTTGATCGCATGCGCAGTAGAGAGAGTTTTTAGTTTCGCTAAAGAGTACAGTTAGAAGTTAGCTCTAGTTTTATTATTCTGCGATTATCTGCTCGCTTTATCACTCAGGAAGTATGGCAGAGGAAACACTCAAAAAAGAAGACACTCTCGCTATGAGACTCAAGTTAATTGGGTATGTAAAGTACAAGCTATTCATATATAAAATGAACTGTACACATTTTGACTCTCTCTTGTGATTTTTTTTAATGGCAGCCAGTCTTGTAGACTGTTTTACTCAGAGGATCCAGTAAAAATAGTCAGAGCAAGAGGACAATATCTGTTTGATGAAAATGGAAAGTCCTATTTAGATTGCATCAGTAATGTCCAACATGGTATGACTTTATTCTTTATTACATGTATTGCAACATTGTTTTGTGGTGTCAGCAAATTTGACTGAATGTTTCCTGTAGTGGGTCATTGTCATCCTGCTATCACAAAGGCTGCTGCGGCTCAGATGGAGCTCCTGAACACCAACTCGCGCTTCCTACACGACAACATAGTCCTGTACGCAGACCGCCTGGCTTCCACCTTACCTGAGAAACTGTGCATCTTCTATTTTGTCAACTCTGGGTAAGAAATGTGTCTACATCCCAGTATGGCGTCACCGGCGTAACTTTCCAGCGATTACACATGAGCTTCCATGACAGGTCAGAGGCCAACGATCTCGCCCTGCGCTTGGCACAGCAGCACACCCAACGCGAGGACGTCGTAGTGCTTGACCAGTAAGTATCTTTAACGCCATCACGAGGCGTGTCAAAAACATGCTTTTCAAATATAACGAGCTCTTCTTCTGCACCAGCGCATACCACGGGCATCTTAAGTCACTCATCGACATTAGTCCCTACAAGTTTCGGAAACTGGCGGGACAGAAAGAATGGGTCCATGTGGTGTGTAAAGTTATACCATCAGTGCACGGACTGCAAACCAACAGTGGACCACTGCTTAAATAAGAGCACATTTTGTCCTCTCAGGCACCCTTACCAGACATCTACAGAGGCATTTACAGAGAGGATCATCCCAGCCCAGGTCAAGCGTATGCTGATACAGTTAAACACCTAATAGAGGAGATCCAGCAGAAAGGTCGTAAGGTGAAGTTTAACTCAGAGAAATTTAATAGATGCACCTTACCGGCCGTGATTAAACTAGTGCAGGACATTTATTTTCTGTTTTCCCTCAGATTTCTGCCTTCTTTGCTGAATCTCTACCGAGCGTCGGGGGACAAATCGTCTTACCTAAGGGATATTTCTCTAAAGTTGCAGAGTGAGTATTGATCTAGTTTTCTTCCTCGTCTTTGCTCACCAGCGCAGTAACGATGACCAAATCTCAACGCGTACCCTACACAGATACGTGCGCTCAGCGGGAGGAGTGTTTGTGGCAGACGAGGTGCAGACCGGTTTTGGACGTGTGGGGAGTCATTTCTGGGGTTTCCAGCTGCAGGGGGAGGACTTCTGTCCTGATATAGTGACCATGGGAAAACCAATGGGTAACGGGCATCCCCTGGCATGCGTGGTAACTACCAAGGAGATAGCTGAAGCTTTCACAGCTAATGGAGTGGAGTACTTCAATACGGTGTGTATACACCAACCTTTTTGATGATTTTTAGCAGATTTATTATTTTGGAACTCATTCAGTTGTAGTCTAAGCTCATTTTAGGAAGTTCCATACTGAAGAAAGCAATTCTTTGTAACGATCACACATACATTTTGATGGATTCATTCCTGTCCAATTTCTTTACAGTTTGGGGGGAATCCAGTGTCGTGTGCAATTGGGCTGGCAGTGCTTGACGTGATAGAAAAAGAGGATCTCAGAGGAAATGCCACAAGGGTGGGAACACATCTCAAAGATTTGCTTAAGAAACTACAAGCAAAACATGACGTGATTGGAGACGTCAGGTAAGAATGGTAATACTGCGCTATTTCTGTTTAAGAAAAAAGAATTGCACAGATATTATTTCAATCCATTTGCACTTCTTTGTCAGAGCAATGGTTGAATGCYCTTGAAGCTAAACTTGATATGACGAGCTAACTGGGCAAAAAACCTAACAGCCCAGAAATTGATAACCTTAACTGGGCACATGCTTTTTGAATTTGGATCATCGTTTTGATCTAATGCTTGAAAAGGGCTGAAGATTTCAAAAGCATCCGATTTTTAATGGAAAAGTCACATAATTAAAGTTTGAAAGTTTACTGTACCATTTGTAGTTAATATTATATAAGTATTTGTTCTTAGCTTTTTATTCCTAAATAACCATAAGCTGTTACTCTCAATCATAAGACATAATTAGAAGGATTGAAGAAAGTTCTTCAGAACTAAAATAAAATTATTTTTAAATGGTTATGACAGTAAGATGCATTGTCAGGTTTTCACAATATATGTTTTATTCCTCATTTGACTCGTTTTTCCTAACGACAGAGGCGTAGGACTGTTCGTGGGACTGGAGTTGGTAACGGACAGAGAAAGGAGAACTCCTGCCACTAAAACAGCTGCCTGGGTGGTGAAGAGGTACAGGTTCACAGTCCAAAGTGCTGCAGGTCATTAAGCTCCTCTTGTGACTTCATCTAATCGATTTTGTCAGGTTAAAGGAGGAGGATCAGATCTGCGTGAGCACGGATGGGCCCTGGGACAACGTGCTGAAGTTTAAACCTCCAATGTGCTTCAGTTTAGAAAACGCAGACCTGGTGGTGCGGTGCATCGACCGCATTCTGACTGGTTAGTGACACATCTTTGACTTTTTAGCCCAACGGGTTAAACTCTGTTTTTTTTTGTTTCACTTGTCTTATCTGATGATCTGAACTGATTCAAAAACCACCCTATTCTCACAGACGTGACCGCCAATGATCTCAAACTGGAAAATGAAGACATCTAAGGTTTGTGAAACCTGTAAAAAGCTTTTAATTGCATGAAACATTGTCAGGTGGTCACATTCATCAACTTCAGAGGTAGAAGAAAGAGATGTACTCGAGGCTGCAGCAGGTCAAACAGTTTCAAGTATTCAGCAGAACATGTTTTAGTGTCTTCCACTCAAACGCTGACCACTGTGAGAACCCAGTGTTTTATAAAGCCACAAAAAGACAAGTGAATAGTAATGTCAAACATTAAAAATACACACAAGTGTGCAATCTTTTATAATGTGATGGAAATTAAATCTGAAACAACTCTGTCCTCCCAAACTTTCAGTACGAATTCAGGATATTAACTTGGTCCAAAATGTGATCCACCAACTCATCACTGGAACTGAAGCATTCAAGAGACCAGTTGAAGCATGCTGCCTACTTTGGGAGACCAGGGTTCCTACAGGATTTCTTCTAAAATAAATATATGCCCAGATTCAAATGGTTTCTTTCCATCTTTTGGACCATTTTCATTAAGCTTAAAAAGCCTGAATGATAAAACTGCATACAAAGAAAGATAGCAGGGATTGTGTGACAATTATTTTTTTGCTAAGGTCTCAAACATCTGTGTAAACTACCTTACCATGGCAGCTTATAAAACTGAAGACAATCAGTATTTAGCAACTAGGATTAAATTTTTACTGTCGTTCAAATACAGCTGCCATTGTGACAAACTTAAAGTATCAAATGTAAGTTTTTTGAATTCTGTGTAGGGTGTATAAATGTAATCTTATACAGCACAGGAGCCATGTGAGATGGTCTAAATTAAATTAAAACCCTAACAATGCTTGTGTTTCATTTTTCCTTACCCACAGCAGCCATGATTAAAACACTCAAACCTCCAACAAACACTTCTTCACAACATTCCCAATACACAAGACAGAACTTACCAGAACACTGTCTTTAAATCTCGGACATTAAAACAAATTTAAAAAAATAAAATAAAATAAAAATAAAAAACAAATACTGAAGTATTGCAGTGTAATTTTTCAGAGGGTTGGGGGTTTAACACTCATCCTGGAGGTAAAGAAGCCCGCAGCTCTCCAAAGAGGCATCCAAGGAAATATTAACATTACTCGAGACAAAAAATAAAAAAAAACAAGCAAGCCATTTAACAGTACAAAACATTTAACTTTAACTTTACAAATAATAACAGAAAGATCCGTGTGTAATAAACCAAAGTTTTATTAATTTTTTCTTTACCAATTTTGCCCAAGACACTAGAGGAATGAGTTTTCAGTGACAGAGGGAATACCCTCTTACATTAACAGGCTTGCGTTCAGTTCAATAACACTAGTAAAGCCACTTAAAAATTGCTGACATGTTGGGGAAAGAACCTCGTTAAAAGCCAAAAAGAAAAAAAAAAAACACAAAGAAAAAAGTAAGAAAAGAAAAATATACTGGTTGTCTTCATCTACATGGTCTTCTGCAGCACTCTTAACATACAAAGAATTCTTAGATTTGGTTAAATCCCTTTTTAAAAAAAAAAAACCTCACTCCCACAGCTGAAGCCATGTAACGTCCGACACTCAGCATGTGAGAAAACAAAAAATCTAGGAACACACACAAAAAAAAGCAATATCATTTTATTTCAGAGCTTTACAAGCTCTTGCTCCTGCTCGACTGTCAATCCAGTAGACATGTAAAAATACAACCATACAATACATTAGATTCAAAAAAGGTACCAAAAAGTACAGTAAAAATAACACTTCCATCGCTGGAAATGTACATGGACACAAAACAATATAAAATAAAAATGTGGAAAAGTGACAATTGCTTCCCCAGTTCCTCACTTGATCTGTACAAATGGAGCATGAGTCCAAATTTCTGCCAACTCCAAAGGAAAAGCCCAGAGTCCATGTTCGCTGTGGTCAGATCATGGATCTCTTTTTCTTATTTACTTTAGACCTTAAGAGAAAAACATGGTGCTTTACGTTACTGAGAATAAACCGGAAGGTGGCATGCAAGTTACACACAGACAGACAGGTGCATGAATGAGTCTGACAGGTCAGTGGATGGTAAGACACAATTTGGGGGCGGAGGGGACACGGCTATCTATGACATCTAGCACCCAGGTTAAAAGGTCAAACGGCCCCTATTCTTTTTTTTTTCTTTTTTTTGTTTTTAACCACCACCAATCCTTACTGATCAAGTAGTCTTTGTAGAGATGCATCTCAAGATGGCAGACAGGTGGAATGAATCCATCTTTAAATGATCAATGACCCCACATCACGGCCTACTCTAACCCCACCACAATGCTTGAATGGACTTAGAGTAGAATGAGATCTTGGGGTCAAAAGGCACTAATGGTTACAGCTACGTTCTCATACTACCACGGATGATGCAAGAATGCATACCTGCACTACGTGTGATCAGTATGGCTTGTAGCTACTCTGGTGGCCCCCACGTCTTGGAGTTTTCCCATAGCTTGTATTGCCCTGGTCTGGAGGACAAGAGAAAAAGGGACTGAGATCTTCTGTACAACAAGAGAGGACCAAGAAAATAAAGTTTCTCTCATTTTTTTAAAGTCTTTCCTTGGGGGCACTTATCGCTTACTGTAATCGTAGCCACCCCCATAGCCGTAATAACCAGCAGAGTAGTCATAGTTGCCATAGCCACCATATCCATAGCCTTGCTGTCCATAACCATAGCCCTGGTTGTATCCCTGGTTCCAGTAGTTGTTGTAGCCTTGATTCCAGTTYTGGCCCTGGCCTAGAAACAACAGGTGAGGCCTTTGTCACAACTCTCAATGTCACATAGCAACCAGAGTTAATAATGCAGTGAGATTAAAATGCAGATACACAGTATATATATATAAACAAACACACACACACACACACACACAAAAGATGCTTACCTCCACGCCCCCTGCCACGTCCTCCGTATCCACGGGCACCGTACTGCTGCTGCATGTAGACCTCTTTGGGTTGGGCGATTTTGAGCTCACACTGYAACGCCACAAAAYGACACATTATTTGGGAAGGAAAACTTCTGCAGAAGTCTTTACGCTCTTCATCACTTGTGCGACAAGTAGCGCGACGTCTTTACCTTGCTCTCACCAACAGTGTGGTATTTCTTTTCCATAGCCTTCTTGAGAGCAGATTCTTCTTTATATGTGATAAATACAAATCCTCTCCTTTTCTCAGTCTTTGGATCCTGTGGAAGCTCAATTGTCTCAATCTGCAAAAAGAGGAAAACCAGCTTATGAAGCAGAAAGTAACAGTACAGACAAATATCTTCAAATGAGCAAAAAGTCCAGTTTCTGGTACCTCTCCATAGGCTTCAAAGTATTCCTGAATCACTTCCTTAGTGGTATCAGGGTTAAGGCCTCCCACAAAGATTTTCTTCACTGGCTCTTTTTTCATGGCCATGGCCTTTTTAGGGTCAATCTGTCGGCCATCTAACCTGTGCTCCTTCTGTTCAAGAACCTAAAAAAACCACAGATTTTTAATTATGGAAACACATCATATGTCCCTTTAAACTAAACCATGGTTCCTACATGTTAAGGAAAGTGAAATTTAAGATCTTTTAAAACTTTTTAAAGCCAAGTGAAATTAAATTTAAGACCAATTTCATAATAAAAACAAATGACAAGAAATAAAAACTGGCAGTAACTCATGAATCAAAGTATTTTTGTTTGAAGTATTCAAATATTGCTAATAGACCTTTTTATTCATATCTAAACTATAGCCGAAACGTTTTTAGCAGTCAGTTTTAAACTTAAATTTCAGGAAATCCTCTAATGCAGGGGTGTCAAACTCCTGTCCTCGAGGGCCGCTATCCTGCATGTTTTAGAGGTTTTCTTGCTCCAACACACCTGATTTTGATCACTGGGTGATTAACAGGCTTCTGCCCAATTTGAAGAGTTAATTCAATCACTGAATCAGGTGTGTTGGAGCTGGAAAACCTCTAAAACATGCAGGATAGCGGCCCTCGAGGACTGGAGTTTGACACCCCTGCTCTAATGAGACAAAATTTGGAGTTTTATGACCCACAGTGGGGTCTTAACCCCCCAATTTGCTGTTGATGAAACCTTAAAGTGCCCGTGACATCAATTTTTGTAAGAAATGTGAATGCATTTTTGGAAAGATAACATTATTAACATATTACAAAACAAATGTCACGTTGCTCAGATGGACAGTTGTTGAGTTATTTGCATGTGAAACAACAGGAAGTGATGTCAAAGGGGAATGTCTGCATGTGAATATTTAAAAAATAAATGTTACCAATTATTTTAATATTTGAGATGAATTATAGTCATCCTATTTACAACGTGTTCACATTTTTAAGCCTTCTGAATGATTGATTTAAGACATTTTAAGGCTAATTAAAGCCTTATTTTTGGATTGATGAATTTAATGCCTTTTAAGACTTTTTAAGGATCTGCAGAAACACTAAACTTATTTCCTCCGCGCTCACCTTGTCCACGCTGGCCGAATCTTTAAAGAGAATGAAGCCGAAACCTCTTGACCGGCCCGTCTGCTGGTCCATCTTGATGGTGCAGTCTGTCACCTCGCCGAACTTGGAGAAGTAGTCCTTGAGATCCTTCTTGCTCGTGTCCCAGCTGAGGCCGCCGACAAACATTTTCCTAAACGCAGAGGCACGGACATGTTTTAGCTGCGTGCGGTGGCGCGGCAGTGGGGATGGACGGCGGCGGTAGGAGGGCATGTACACCGTGTTCCCGCACATCTGCTGGCCCACAGATGGGTGGGGGAGGGGGGCCGCCTGCAGGTGCTACAGCCTCAAGCTACTTCACAAATACATCTGAATATGCATGATCCGTGAAGGATATAAATCCAGGAGACATATAAATGTAGCTTAGGGTCGTTTTAGTCAGAATTTGATGTTAGATTGAATTCCTGCTGAAGCGCCCATCCCCCCCCTCCCCTTCCACATGGCGCCAACAAAAGGGCCGGCAGAACAAAGAGACCTTGTAACCAAGATTGAACCGTTTCATGGCCGACTATTTGAGACAAAATCATTTCAAGTGTTTAATACTCACCCGGCATCGTCTTCGCCCTTGCTCGCGTCGATCTGGCCGCCATCGGTGCCGCCGTTTTGCGAGTCGTCCCCGGCTCCTTCCCCGCAGTCGATTTCGGCGCTGCCGTCATCGAGCTGACCGGCTCCGTTGAAGTCCTCGTCGACTTCGTGGCCGTTTTCCGACGTCTCCATGTACTGTTGCTCTGCCTCAGACATTTTGTGTTTTTTCTGCACTAAAATACCTAGAAATGTGTTTTGGAGGGGAKGGAAATTAGACACTTCGGTATACTGGGCGCCTGCGCTTTGCGTTACGTCGATTCGCCATTTACACGGTGAAGATTTCCCACCATTTTGACCGGCGGAATCGCGTTTCAGATCGTATTTTTTTTAGGCCTCTATTTGACTGAGTGCCTCACGATCAATTGGATACGTATTTTTTAACATGTTTACTACTCATTATCTAATAAGCACTTCATATGGGGGGAAAGATTAGGAAAGCTGTTACCGTCTGTGCCATACTGATAAACCCGAGCCTCGGCTAAATTTCGCAGTTACGTAAGCCAGAGAGGCCGCGCAGCACGAAACTAAAGCTGGAGACTCAAAAATCATACTAATTTAACATTAAACTGGAAAAAATGCGGTTAGGAACCAAACAAATTAGACTACCGRAAGGACTATAGCGCAAAATGTAGTCAGAATGAAGGAATTAAAAAATGTACTTACTGGTCACACAACCGGAGAGCCCTCTTCAAGATGGATTCTCCCACATGAAGACAACTCGTGGTTGGGTTTTCAACCGGTAGAGGGTGAAAAAAACGACTTTTCTGAGATGGAGCCGTCTGATTGGATAAACGCGTTTGTCGATCATAGCGTCGACCAATCGCACACGCAGCTCTCTTTTCTTGTCACAAGTCGTCCACGCCTTTAGAACACAGGAAGGAAGGAACTCCATGAACCTTTTTCAGCTAATGTGTTCAGTTTTGGGCGTTATTGAAGGATTAAAATAAAAGCCACGCTGTCGGGGTTGAATATTGGCACAAACAGCTTTGATCCTAAACATATTGCAATTCACCACAGGGTTTGTGCTGCCGTGTCGTATTATCGAATTTGTTTTTAAAAAAAAAGAAGAAAAAAGGACGAGCTCAAGATGTTGGAGTCATTAAACCTGTGTGGAATTACTAGTCTAAATTTGGGCAGTGGTAATTTATGAAATATTTTTACCCAACATAAATTTGGTTTCAGATAGATAAAGACTTTGCAACCCTTTCAAAATGAACAGTCAATGAGGATGTTCCTCCGAACATAAATGTAACTAATTATTTACTCCACACTAGTTAATGATCTTGCCAAATGTAGATTTAAAACAGAATAGAAGCTGTCTTACCAGGCTGTTCTACAAGGCCTGAGATGGTTGATCTATACTAATAAGAATCAAAACCTATTTGAAAATTAAATTTATTGATTTGTAGCAATAAACCAATTTATCAAAAAAAAAAAAAACACGGAATGTTGTCCCCTCTTTATGTCCTCTCGACTCAGTTTTCATCCATGACGCCGTCACATATTTGAGGCTGGTATGGATTGTTTTTCATCAGCCAGTCAGAGAGCCAAATCTGTTGAGAGCCAATGTGGAGTACTATTGTAATCAACATTTAACTAATAAGTTGACTAATATCACAGGATATCCTCCCACGAAATTAGCACTTACACGTGGGTTGAGAGGCTTTTCCTTGCAGAGCTCAGTGAGTCCACGTAGCAGAATTGGATTGACGTTTTTGCTCAGGTATTCTTCCGTCGCTTCTCCTCCTTCTATTATTGCTGCAAAGAGAGCATAAGTGGTACATGGCTGTGTTTTAAAAGATTTAATTATTTATAAAGAATAGTATTAGTATTTGAGCTACTTACTATCCGGAAACATGAATCTGATCTCCCTTACAGCAGCGTGGAGTGACTCGCTGCCATGGAGTGCATTGTGCAGGTCAGATGATCCATATTTTGCTCTTAGACTGGAGACAAATATAGATAGATAAAGATAAATAGAGAATGTTTTCAGAGAACAGACCTGTAGCACCAAAATTAGAAAATACCAATTTAGGAGAAAGGAAGGTAAAAAAAGGACCAAATAATTTGACCAAAATGCCTATAACTCTCCTCATAATRTARTCTAAAACTCTGGCATGAAAGGCTGTGGATGAGATGCATTTCTTTAAGGACATGCAGCTGTGCAGAGGAGGGACTGGATATGTTGGTAGATGGTGATAGAAGTGATGCAGCTGCCAGGAAAAAGACAAGGAGGAGATGTATGGATGCAGTTAGAGGGGACATGGAGGTAGATGAAGTAGGAGAAGAAGAACAAAACCCTTGTGGAGGATGTAGAAGTGGTTGAAGAAAAATRCACCGGCCTCATCATAGCAGACAACCAGGACAAAGACAGATCAAGGAAGAAAAATGACAGAACATGACAATAATGCAAATGAAAACTAGTTTTACAAATGTTCTGGAGGAGTCCAGAACTGTGCTTCTCCAGGAAAAAAGACCTTAAAAAGGCTTTTAAATGGACACAATCCAACAGAAAATAAATCTGTAGAGTGTGATCTTATACCGGATGAGAAGAATAAACACAAACAGGAGAAAAATGAGCAAGAAATCTGAAAAGAATGAGTAATCAAGAGTAGAGTGAAGCTCAGGGTTAGTATTAATTTGTCTAATTTCTAAAAATGCTTTAAAGGGATCCCCGATTAGTTGTAACATTAAACTTTATTTGATAAACATATACTTTAACTGTAAAATAAAGACTGTAAAAATACTGTAGGATGTTCAGTTTTTATAATTTTTTWAACTAAAAGTTTAAAAATATATTACACGGACAGGGCCATTTTATTTACATGCAAAGCATTATGGGTAAATGATGACATCAACTAGGTCATCCGTGCGAGCCTGCTAGCGAGCTATATCCACCCTGAAGGTTAATCTTGGACAATATCTGATGATCGACTCTTTTAAATGAAACCAGAGAGCGTTGACAGAGAGGAGAAGGTAGAAATGACTCAGCCTGTAACTGAAAATATAGAAGGAGGACAACAGAGCTGCTTCATGGAAGAAGAACCTCAGCTTAGCCTGTTAGCTTTAGCATTAGCACTGACGCTATCACCATTTATATGTATTAGCTCAGCGCTACACATTCTCCTCTCGTCACTGAGGTCCTCCATCCACATGACAGAGAGGGGAACACAAAATGACTCAGCCTGTAACTGAAAATATAGAAGGAGGACAACAGAGCTGCTTCATGGAGGAACCTCAGCTTAGCTTGTTAGCTTTAGCATTAGCACTGACGCTATCACCATTTATATGTATTAGCTCAGCGCTACACATTCTCCTCTCGTCACTGAGGTCCTCCATCCACATGACAGAGAGGGGAACACAAAAATGATTCAGCCTGCAACTGAAAATATGGATGGAGGACCTCAGATTAGCTTGTTTGTCGCGCTAGCGCCGAGCTAATACATGTAAGGCAATATAGCGTGGGCGCTAGTGCAAAGGCTAACAGGCTAAGCTGAGGTTCTTCTTCCATGAAGCAGCTCTGTTGTCCTCCATCCGTATTTTCAGTTACAGGCTGAGTCATTTCTACCTTCTCCTCTCTGTCAACGCTCTCTGGTTTCCTTTAAAAGAGTCGATCATCAGATATTGTCTAAGATTAACCTTCAGGGTGGATTTAGCTCGCTAGCAGCCGATGACCTAGTTGATGTCATCATTTACCCAGGATGTTTTGCGTGTAAATAAAATGGCTCTGTCCGTGTTAAAATAGATTTTAAAAAATTTACAAAACTAAACAGCCTACAGTATTTTTACAGTCTTTATTTTACAGTTAAAATAAATGTTTATCAAATAAAGTTTAATGTTACAACTAATTGTGAATCCTTTTAAGCAATTTAGATGTATTGAACAGGAATATTAAAATGGTTCAGGAAAAAAATGCTGAAATGAAATTTAATCTGTTTTGGTCTCATTTCAGATGACTGCCTTCACAGTTTGAAGTTATGTAAAAGGATTTAAACTGACATGGCATTCTGTTCAACCAGTTTTTCCTAAAACTGTGAAAAGGCTTAAACTTGTGCTGCGTTTAAAATATCTGCTTTCAGCTGATTACCGTTGGGCCATTTCCTGCTACTGCACAATACAGGGGGGAAATGTATACTTTTGTGTGTTACCACTTTGTATGTGCAAGTTTAGTATGTACATTAAAGAAATTTAAATCAGTTTTTAAGAATAAAAAAAGGATAAACAAATTTCCCCTGTAACTTTTAGAATGAGATTTTTGATGCTGATAAAATTTAGTCACAGAAAGATGTAGATGAAGAGAGGACAGAGTGAGATGGGGGAGGAGGGCTCATCGTGGTGACTCCTGAAGAGGGAACAGCCTAAAGAGCTAACCTCAGCAGGACATTTAGTTACTATAAGACAGATCACATCTTTAAATGAAATACAGACAACAGTGTGAATGAATAACACAGAAATRTCTGAGGCCTACCACTCTGGATAATTTTCTTTGGCTTCTGTGATGCTGGCAGGCCCTATGATGGACTTCCAGTGTGCGACAGCATCGTCACGAGCCAGCATCAAGGCAACAATGGGGCCGGAGCTCATGAAGTCCATCAAGGAGGGGAAAATGGGTTTTCCATTCTGGTCCGCATAGAAATCACTACATTGCTCCGGACTCAGCTGCAGCCTCCTCTTCTAACACAGGGATGATTGGGTTTTGRACAATTCAGTGATGTGCAGAGAGCTGAGCTTGCATGCTTCAACAATAATCATGACTTATCTTCAAGAATATTAAGCTCATCTAGGAATGTTTTTTAAAGGTGTTGGGATCTAATCAGACTTTTTTTGTATGCATTCACAGCTGAAATTAATGTTAAAATCACAGAGTTGTTGTTGCATATTTCATAAAAAATATTAACCCTTACATAAAACACCAAAATAGACAGATTATGAATGATAAATCCACTACTGCTATAGAATGACATTTTGTGTTGAGTTGCACCTTAATTAATAAATGAAGCTGGATGTGTTTGAAAAACAAACAAACAAACACTGTCTAGAGCTGCTTATTTCTGTTGATATGCTTGTGACTGCCAACAATAAATGACTACAGCTTGTTGTTGCCCTCTAGTGGACAAACTACGTAAAAGTCAAAATGCCTCCAGAAGTAGCTACACTCAATACAAAATGTGCAATTTCTATCAAAATCTGATTGTTTAGAGTACCGCCATAAATTRAAATCCACATTTGATACTTAAAACTAAACACGAGCCTGACAATAGCTAAGAATTACACACTTTTGTTCACAAAGACAACAAYCCACCTGCAGTATAATGAAGCCTGATTTGAGGAGAACATCCTCTATCTCCTTCAGGTTATGAATCGCATCAGGTTTGATGATAGCCAGCGTTCTTTCTACATTTATACGATATGATCCACTATCCATCTTCACCGGGGTGCTAATGCTAACGGAGATACAAAAACAGATATTCGTCTTGTGCACAGACTCCGTCGGTAATTATAATWAAAAAAAAACGAATATTTGCACACACGAGGCATTCAAATTAAGGTTCAAATAGCGACAAACTTTTTTACGGCTAGCTTAATTTGCCGTCAAGCGTTCCTAACTTTTGTATGGTTGCTATGATACCATTAAACACCTTCTACGGTGTCTCAAGTAGGACAATCCATGGATATCTGAACTCTATTTACACCCAATTTTAACCCACTGGACAAGTTTTCTCTTCAGCTTTTTAGGATTAGTAGGACTTCATAATCACTATTATTTTTGAAAAATAGTTAATGACACAAACTCATACATTTATATGCTGGTTGCGTTGTCCAGACCAGYGGTCACTGGACAGGTTGCAGATCCATCACTTCATATATAACGAGCAATTTTTCTTCAAGTCTACGAGTAAAACTGGAACAGAAAGCCAAAATGTCCTGAGTGCACTAGGTATTAAAGCTCAAACAGACACCTAAAGCCTCAAAGCAATATTATACAAATATTCAAGATGGTTTTATGTACTAAAATATTTTTTTACTTTTAAACATTTATTTCAGTAATGTTTGCCCGACTGCTATAAGCATCAATATGACCTGTTTGTATAAGCTTTATAATGTGATAAACTACAGACAGCTGCAAAATAAAATTGAGAACAAGACTGGCACATGTTATTTTGAAGAGTCTCTTTATTCAAAATGTCTTCAGCAAGTTGTTCTTATCGTGTTCCGATGGTAACCTGCCACACTCTGATCAGGTTGTCAGTGTAGCCAGCAAACAGGGTCTGTAAGGGATTAGAACAGAAGTTTAAACCAAATAATCTCACAAGACCAGAGTTTGGGTCAGCCTAAACAGATAAATCATTCTCCCCTCATATTTGCAGGACTGTCAGCAGTTTATATCAGAGTAAAAAGTGAATGTGTATAATCACAGGGGGGTGATGATACTGAAACCTGCACTTAAAAAGATCGAACAGAGATAATCCTCATCTATACCTGTCCATCAGCAGACCAGGCCAGCGAAGTACACTGTGGAGGTTCAGCCTTGCTGTTTGTGCTGATCACTTCCTGTTTCAGCTCATCCACGATGATCTTGCCCTCCAGATCCTAAATGAGGTGAAAGAACAGAAGTAGTGTTATAAAAACAAAAGACAACAGAATTTACAGTGTTCAAATTAGAGCTCAGAAACAGCCTCTGTTATCATCAAATAATACAGCTAGTGTGTCAAGTTTCCATCACAGCCCTCCAAATGTTTCACGCCTCATCCAGAAAATGTTATCTTTAGAATATAGTCTTACCCAGATCTTAATGCTGGGACCAGTGGCGGCGCACAGCCAGTAGCGGTTGGGGCTAAAGCAAAGGGCATTGATGACGTCACCGCTGTCCAGGGTGTAGAGGTGTTTGCCCTCGTTCAGGTCCCACAACATGGCCTGACCATCCTGAGAAAAGGAAATAACAGGTAAGATGGTGTAACGACCACACCGCAGCACTTCCCGCCATGATCAATGTCGACAAGTTCAAGTAATGCTCAGAAACAGCCTCTATTGTCATCATTTTTTTGTGTAAAAACAGATGAGTGTTTAGTTTTCCATCATTGCAAAAAACCAGACAACTTTTTGTGTGCCTCAAAACTTTTAATAATTAAAAACATTCTGAGGAAGTCCACAAAGGTTACCTTTCCACCCGATGCACACAGAGAGCCATCAGGAGATACGGTCACCGTGTTCAGGAAGCCAGTATGGCCGATGTGGTTGGTCTTCAGCTTGCAGTTGGCCAGGTTCCACACCTGGAAGAAGGGGACAGTGATCACCACATCCACTTCATGAGCACCACCACGTGGAGCTGCAGGTGCTGTGCTCTCATCAACACATTTTCTCCTCACTGATCATGTCAGATAATACATGCAAACATTTTGAAATCATTGAGCGAGCGAGTCAAACTTTCTTAAAACTTCAAATAAAAACCTACTTTGACCAACTTGTCCCAGCCGCAGGAGACAATGATGGGGTTGCTGCTATTGGGGGAGAAGCGAACACAAGACACCCACTCAGTATGACCTTCATCCTGAAAAACAAAGTTTAGAGATTTTAAATCCTCAACACTTCCTTAATATTTAAAATCCTCTGAGTGTTTTATTGCTTATCGACACCAAACTCTGGTTACAGAAGTTCACTTAACATCTCAACTTGACAGCCAATTTAGCCTTGTACTGTTCTTGCTTATGTTTATGTTTATAGGCTTTCCATTGGGCCAATCTTGTCAGCTTCCAGCTTGGTTTTTAGGATGTACCCAGCTGCCGTTACAGGTGATTGCTTGTCTGCAGACTGCAGATTAGTGATCGGCCAAGAGTGATGTGGATGAGTGATGGTAGGACTAACCATAGACCAAGAACCAGGCATACCAGGAGCTTGTTGAGCATCTCACACACACACAAAAAGTAGTGTCGGACAGCCCAGCTAACTGCAGGCGAGCATTCACCAGGTGGGACCTCACCTGAATGGTGTACTTGCAGACTCCGAGCGTGTTCCACAGCTTGATGGTCTTGTCCCGGGAGCCAGAAACAATCTGGCGGTTATCAGCAGAGAAAGCCACACTCAAAACGTCCTTTGTGTGACCAACAAACTGGCGGGTGGTGGTACCACTAGAAAAATGACAAAATATTCAATTATAATAAAGAACAATCAAGATCATCAATCCCCACAGCTAACATTCTGTCTTTTTATTTAGCATAGGTGTTTTTCTCCCTGGACAAATATTCAACCTGTTCACACGTTTCAACACTAATAACTACAYAAATAGTTCAGAAAACGGAGGTTTTATCAACACAACAGTAAGTAGCTACACTGTAGAACACAAATATTCCTGGCATTACGCCTGCTGCATTTCTGAGCTAAAAAACAAAAAAATAACTACTTCTATACAAGTTTACTGTGACACCAATTGTGCCTTTAATTTAATTTAATATACAATTTAGTTTTAATAAGTCAGACTGTTTGGTATGGAAGCTTTTAGAGTTTAAGGTCAATTGGTTTCTTCTCATTTCTAAGCTTAATTTGTTCAAAAGGTTTCTTGGCAGTTAGTACAAACTTTTATACCAAAAATATCTCTGAAGCTTAGTTGCAACATCTTGAGAAGTGCACACTTTTAGATGCATAAAAATTTAACTTTTCTGAAGTACAATTCAGCCAGTGATTGAAAACGGTTCAACTAAAGTGCTTCCTCTGACATAGAATAATCAGGTAACTGAATTAAGAAAATCTTGTTTCTTTTTACCTTTGTTGCACTGATTTAAACTTTTAACACAACATGGCTCTGCTACAAGTCAGTTTGCAGTGCCACTGTACAAAAATGTTCATAAAATGCTATTCTGGCAACAAGTGTTTCAGAGCTGCTGCAGCTTTCAACAGCAACCTTGGAGTTTGAAACCTCTGTCCTGTACAAGGCTCCTTGCCTTTTTTTAATTACCCATTGACTTGTTTTGTAAGTTCTATGTGCTGTCATCACAGTGTGTGCCCATACAATGATAAAATTAGTTCTGTGCATCTGGCCCAATGACGTGTCAGTTACACAAAAACGGAGATGAGGGTCTGTATTTAAGCACATGGGGAGCAGTTGTCTTACTCAGTGACATGGGTATGGCAGGGAATCAAACCAGCAACTTTCCAGTCTTAAGTGCACTWCATTTTGCACTATATTGTGACTWATTTTATCCCTCTACTGTCTTGTTMAATATCACTTCTAGCAATTATGCAACAGAGACAGTATTAGCTCAAACATCACTGATCAAACTTGCTGAGTTACCATGTTGATCTGTAAAAGGGGGACACATGGACACTTTTCACCTTCTGGTCATTTCTACATTACATGTTTCCAGTTGCTGAACTTACTTGGTGAGGTCCCACAGACGCAGGGACCCATCCCAGGAGCCCGACAGAGCAAACTGTCCGTCTGAGGAGATGACAACATCACTTACAAAGTGAGAGTGGCCCCTCAGGGAGCGCTGGGGGATGCCGTAGTTGGTCTCATCACGGGTCAGTTTCCACATGATTATGGACTTGTCTGGAAAGTTTAAAACAGAATACTTGACTTGTGGCCCTTTACCGTTCAAGAAACAGGTTGGCTACATTAGCATGTGAAGCTAGCTCTGAATCACAAGACATTATCTATTAAGACACGATTTTGCARCTTTGCATACAGAACTATTACTTAGTGTCACTATAGAGTAACCTTTGCCTGTGTAAAGCATGCCTGTAGAGACGCATGTCTCTAAGGCACAAAGTAACTACCGGTAGTTACTGATGACTCGAGCTAGCATAAGCTAAGCTAGTTACGATTGCAGCGTGTTTACCATCGAATAAACCTTTATTTTYCCCATTTTTCTCTGTCCGGTTGTCTCGTGTCACTCCCGCCAGCTAAAACTGTCTCTAACATCGCCATAGACCAGCCGCTAGCGGACCACCGCTAACCCTGTAGCCATGTTGGCGAAGCCGGCGGGGTGGGGGGGAAACCTCACCTCGGGAAGCCGACAGAATCATGTCGGGGTACTGAGGCGTAGTGGCGATCTGGGTGACCCATCCACTGTGCCCCTTAAGGGTCCCCCTCACTGTCATCTGCTCGGTCATTTCGGCGTGGTTCGGTGATGCCTTTTACAAGGATGGATTTGGATTTTGTTAAAGGTCCGGGCGAACCTAGATCCTCATCGCATCTGGGCACAGCGGAAAAGGAAGCAAAGACCCGGATGCAAAAACTATGAGGAGGTGAAAGGCCCGCAAAGGATTCTGGGATATGCTTTTTCAACATGCACTGCTATGAGATGGACTAAAGAC